AGAAATAACCCTTAATGTTGGCCCCAAAGAAGTGACCCCAAAGTTGGTCCCAAAGAAACGGCCCCAAAGAAATGACCCCAAAGTTGGCTGTGGTTTTCTGTGGTCCCCTCGCAGTGACCCCCCCTTGGCCAGCTCCAGATGGAGGGATGCACATGGCGTAAATGAAACCATCACATCCCCGTGCTGCACAAACACACGGTGAAAAGCAGCACGAGGAGGGATTTCCACCATGTTATCAGCGTACAAAGAGAGCTCTGGGTGGGAGGGATGGCTGTCACCCGGAGGGACGGGTGTGACTGCGGACCTTACAGGGCAGAGGGAGGAACAATGGCACACTGTGCCCCTTGGCATCGCCACAGATGGGGATGGCTGGGGGGATTCTGTTGGCAGAGGTGGCTCCAGAGATCGGTGCAATCCATCCCTGTCCCCTCCCATTGGGGCCCTTGAAGCCATGCGCTGCCATCACGCAGTCACAGCCGTGGCACCGAGCCCCCAGCCAGGAGCTTTGGGCAGGAGCTCCATCTCCACATTCCGAGGAGAAGAATTCAATCAGCAAATTAAGGTATGTTTTTGGAAATTCTCACCTCATGCCGCTAAATGTGTGTAAATACTATTGTGCACGCAGCAATTTCTGCCTGTTGGTGAGTGGGATAATGGGTTGCACCGAGGCCCACCCCCAAAAGTGTTCGAATTTTGGGATCTGGGATCCCCTAAGGCATAGAAATGGGATGGAACTCAGCACTCTGCATCTAACTCCCTCACACTCATGGTGTCACCAGGGCTGGCATCCACAAGAGGGGCACAGACAGATTCTGTTGCTCTCGGAAATGTTTTCACCCATTGTGACCACTGCTGGGGACCAGCAGGCTCCTTGCAGCAGCTTCTGCACGGCATGAGTGCCGCTGCCACCCCCTGCTCCAGCAGTTGGCAATGTGCTGAGCTCGGCCTCCAGCAGAGCATTGCACCAGGAAAGTTTGCACCAGTGAGGTATGAGTGCAGTGTGGCCATGTGTGTGCACAAACACACCGTGCTTCTGGCAGTGCGGTACACACATACACTGACATATTTATGCAATACCTTTCTCAAAAGGAAAGCACTTCTATTGTTGCTGCTTTCCACGTCGGGATGTTTTATATGTAGGATTTGCATAGAGAAGCTGAGATTCGATAGTGGTTTGACAACAAGGCTGTGTGAAGTTGCTTTCTAGGCATTACAGCATCCAGGTGATACGAGTTATGCCTAATAGGAACTGGGAACACAGCGCAGACCACTCCACCTGCACCAGCAGCACAGTTTGGCCCTCAATGCTGGACGTGATCTCCCCAGCTGTGAAAACCAATCTGAACCCCACAGCAAACTACAGACCAAGTTGCTTTCCCCCCACTTCTCTGTGCTGAAGCTCTGAGAGGACACAGCAATCTGAGGGCCTTTCCAGGCAGATCTGCAGTGCCGCGGGCCAGAGGGCAGCAGCCAACAGGTGTGGGTTTCTCACTGCTCCTCTGGCACAGCGCATCGCAAGGCATTCCTCTACACATCTCCCCACTGCCCTTTTCCAAGGCAGGAGCACGGGGCACGGCTGAGCTCTGTGCTCTGTCCTGAGAGACAGAGAGCAGGGAGGTTTCCATCACAGCTTCTCCCAACTCCAACTTTTCTGATATAAAAATGACCCTTTTCAGCCTTAAATGAGGGATTCTTCAGTGCGGGGTGAGGTTGGAGGAAGGAGGGACGGGAACGAATGTGGTACTTTAGAACCCCTCCCCTTTGTCACTCACTAAACTCAATGAAATGAAACGAAATGAAATTGTAGAGATTAAAAAGCGATGCACTCAGGGCTGATTGGGAACTTTTCACATCTCCGTATCGCTGAATTATACAGACAGCTCTGCACCGTTGCAGGGGGGGGAGAGGCTCAGATGA